CTGGCTCCTGGACTTGAGCAGCTCTGACTGGATGGCGGTCTCGACGGGTGGCTTGTTGGGCTGCCTCAAATTTCATGGCATACACTAAAGCGCTTTTCAGATCTTTAACATCCGCCATTCGCAGTGCTTTCTGTATTTCAGGGTCCCGGATGCCATCGATGAAATATTGTAGGGACAGGATTTCCCTTGTTTCTGTCGGGCACTCCGAAAAGGCGTGATGTGACAGCCTTTCAACATCCGTGGCGAGCTCCTGAAGCGTTTCGGTGAGCTTCTGTTGACGAGATTTTAATTGGAGCCTGCTGTAGTCTTTTAAACATTTCTCGCCGAAGCGCAGCTCCAAAGCGCCGGATAGAGCTTTGAAATCTAGCCTTTGATTTTCGGGAAGCGTCTGCAGGATATCCGCTGCGTCTGCTCTCAGAGAAGCGGCGAGATGACAGGCCTTAGCTTGGGAATCCCATCCATTCGCATGCGCAACGATAGAAAATTGTGTCCTATACACCTGCCAGGAGGTCTTCCCATCATATGTAGATAGTTTCAGAACGGAACGAGCAGGCATCGATAAAAATATAAAACCTTCAGAATTGTTTCCTACCGTCGCTATGCACTTCTTTAGGCTGTCAACTTCTTTGGCGACGGCAGCAGAAACCCTATCATCAATTTGCTGTTCGACGGCAGAAACTCTCTCTTCTATATGTTCTTTTACAGAAGAAATTCTTTCTTCTACTTGTTCTTTTACCGAAGAAACTCTTTCTTCTATTTGTCCAACTTTAGTTTCAACCGCGTCTATTCTGCCTTCCATAGCCTCAAATTTATTTTCTATTACGCAGGTAATTTCTCTTTTCATTTCGTCCTGACCTGCTTTCATCTCGTCTTTAAGGGATTTCATCTCTTCCTTAACGCATTCCTGGCCCAATTTCATTTCTTCCTTAACGGATATTTGACCAGCATCCATTTTCTCTTGTACAGCTTTTATATCTTCCTTAACGGAGTTGACGGCTCCTTCCATCTTTTCTTGGAAAGCAGCAAATGCAGTCATCATTTGCCTGAATTGTTTTTCCATCGCTCTTGTTATTGGCATTCAAATCCCACTTCTGACACCAAAAATTGTTGCGTGCGTACGGGTTCGTTATGAAATGAACGCACAAGTCCGATGAAAAATGAACAAAAATTTATTATTATCACAACAAAAATGCTTAAATTTTCTCAAATTATCATGCAGTATTACAATATCTCACAGTAGTTATCTTTTAACTACTCAAATGTCCAATAGAACGTAATTCAAAACAGCTAAAGAACGCTAATCCGCGAATTCGCTACAATCAACAACAGTAGTTTTCTAAACAACAACAAACTAAAACAACTACTACAAACTGAGATGTTTTCCTCCTTTTATAAGATTTTAAAATCACGCGCTAGAATTTTCCAGCACTTTCTCGAAATCAAAAAGAGATATTTATTTATTTAACGCACGCGCTCTTGTATTTTTAATTTTTCCGGCTTAGCTTTCTTTTAATATTCGTCACGCGCTGCACTGCGCGAGAAATAAACCATTTAATTTATAATTGAACTAACATTAGCTTTTTAAATACCAAATTCGTAACAGTATTCTTTAAAATAATTTAGTTTAAATGTGTACTTAACATTTAAATTTATTTAATTAAAAAGTAACTACATTATTTATTTTCTTCAATTAAAAACTAGTTAAATTATATGGTACACAGCTGTCCAATAATATACAACTTTAACGAAAAAAAGAAATCGGCTAAAGGCTTGATTATGTTGGCATAAATTTAAAAACTGGTTTTTATACCTGCATAATGTAGCTAATAATATATAATCCAAAATTTCGTATTACAGGCTTTTCTGTTTATCGGAGCATTAGATTAGATTTTGTTTACAAACGATCATCTAGAAGAGATACTTTACTTGAGGCTGGTTACTATTTGAAACATTGAATTAGCTGCGAGAGGTCATATGCTGGCAACATCAGATTCTGTTTCTTCATAAGGTTTAGTTAAAGGAATTTAATAACTTTTCAAATCCAGTTGATATTGTTCAATAAAATGCATCTGAATAACTTTTTATATCCAAGTTACCACTGACTTATAATAGAGTAAATGTTCTCTGTAAACTCAGAATCACAATGCATAAACCATAAACTAAAATACTCATTCACTTCAGTTAAAGTCTTGACAGGATCTCTTTAATAACCCCAGGTCACAAATACCCATCTTCCGAAGTAACTTTATATTTCTGCTACAAATTTTAATATTCCATAGAAATTTGTGACTTGGCCTAGCGACAACAGAATGCTTCACCACTTGAGTACAAAGGCTGATAATCATATAACAGGCGATACAGCAACTCAACTGGTGATAAGTAAGTAAGTAATTAAGTAATAACTTTCAAACTGGTAAAATTTGCAATTAGTGGAAGGTCATCTTTTGGCCACATAAGATTTTTTTCAAATTGCTTTGCATTACAAGCGTGTAAAACCGTTCTTTTAAACTGGTTAGTTCTGAAAATATTTATTAACAGAGCACAGGAACAGTTACAGAAAATATGCATCAGAATAGAACATATACTAAACCGAAACACATAAAAGAGTTAAAACTGACGTTAGAATTACGAAGACATAATAATGAAGAACTTATCCCCATCTCAGCTGGAGGCAACTGACTGTAAGTTGTTCTCGCGGCCACTAGAAGGCGTTCTATTATAAAAGTTCTGTTACAAATGTACTTTAAGTTTTCAGTCGTACATTTTTAGTAACATCAAATACTTTTCATGCATTAGTATGTAAAAAGTTTCTAAGAAATTTCAAAGTGTTCAAAAACATAGAACTTTGATGATCAGTAGTGTTCTGGATAGCGAGTAATCTAAGAAATTCTTCTTAATAGCACAGGAATCTGTATTAGTTTTTGTAACTATGATTATTAAGCATATAAATAAATAATACCTTTTATCACAGGATTTATAAATCCACCATTAAAAGAACTGCGTGGAACCTGCACAATTGTTTGGAATTATATTCATATAATGACTAGGACTTAATAGAAATAATTTCTTTCTCAAAGCATTTTGTTCCTTATTTTACTTAAATGAATAGCATAATTAAATGTTACTTTCCAATCAAACTTTTGTATTTGTAATATTGTTAATGTATTACGAAACATACAAAGAAGGTGATAATAAATAAGACTTTAACTAAAAGTGAATTATTTATAGATACGTAGCTAAGGCGATAAAAGCGATTTGAAGGAAACATAATTTTTTCAAAATTTTTATATCTTATTTTCTTCAAAACGATTATTCAATTTATTCTTAGAAGTTTTTATAGCATGTTGACACAGTAGAGATAAAAATCTTGAGCTCGCAGTTTATTGATTTGATGTAAAAATAAATTCCTGGAAGAAATTGCTTACAGCAGCGACTAAAAATTAGTACTGTTAACATTTCATAAAAACTGAGTAATTTAATAACATAAAAATAATCTAAAAAGTTTTAGACAAAGTAACTTTTTTTAAATACTGAATTTATTTACTTTAGAAGCTATTTGTTCTATGATTACTAATTTCTGTCGGTGTTGAAAAAAGTAAAAGCAATTGAGATGTGTAAGCTACAGGAAGCATCCGTTTCTGTTTTCTAGTCCTCCCGCTTCTCATTTTATTTAACCAAATAGATAGAAAAAGTAGTATTGAAAATTTCTCTTGCATTTGATGCTAATGAAAAAATGTAACTTGCAAATATAATTAATTTTCTTATTTAAAATGAAAAATAGCTTAGATAACATGTTTGGAAAATAATTTATTAATCTTATCATGTCTTACTTGAATCAATTTCCTTTTATAAAATTTCGAAAACTTATAAAATATCTTTAACGCGTTTTTTTGAAAGTTTTGCCTTTGATTAAAACAAACCTTTTTAAGAAGGATGTGCTTTGTAGAATTGATAAATTTTTCAATTATACTTTCCTAGAGGATTTCTTTAGCAATACAACAAGACCCCTCTTAACGCAATGGGGATTTTGATAAGCTCCAGCGCTCGGGGAAATAGCGTTAATCGGGGTCATTGTAATACGTAAACAATAGGGAAAATTGAAACAGAAGGGCGAATTACAAAATTTATCAGTTTTTTTTTAAATTTTGTAACATTTATTGTTGAGTACTATCTTATTATTTAACTATAGACTATTTTTGAAAGAGAATTTTATTCATGGAAACAACAACAAAAAAATCAGATCTAGAAGTTACGTTTGTGATGAGGAAGGTTCTTCCTTTTTTACCTTTCTTTTGTGTGTGCGCTTGAGAAGAAGTTATCTGGTATCGTTTCTTTTCCTGTTTCGTTCAACAATTAGCTGTGGATAACAGAACATCGCATCAGTTACAGTATTCGTCTTGCCTTTGAAAATTTAAATAATTTTGTATAAACTGATACATAATTTTCTTTATAACAGCTAAATGCTTTTTTGCGGAATCCGATGAAAATTCCTTTTGCTCCTCTTCCTCAGAAACGCTAGTTTCATGATCTTCGTGCATTTGTTGACTTCCACCAGTTGTAACTTGCAGCAAAGTCTCTATATTTTGCTCATTTCTGTTTTATTTAGCTAGCTTAATATTTTCGCCGGCATCAACAATGTCGTTATCCTCTTGTGTTAACATCCTTGCTTAGGTTTGGCTATGCACTCTTCCATACTCCATTCAAACATTTCTCGATCATCGCAATCCGGGAAAGATTGATGTTTTATAAGGAATATTTTGATGATTAAAAATGGAGAGCAAATTAAACTGTGTAACTATGAGTTTGACTCTATGTTAGCCACAATAATCGCACAATTTTTTATATCCAATCCTTGGAACATAGTAATGTTGTTATTCAGGCGAACCATAAATCGCTTACAACCTGAGAAAGTCACTTTAATTTTAAATTTACCGAATAGTGCATCTGTTCTAAACTGTATTATGTTTTTATTAATTAAAATAATTTAACACCATGCTTACTTTGATCATTATGTGAAGAATACCCCTCTAAAACCCTGGACACGAGGTCCACCTTCTGGACGAGAGAATCAAAAAGGTGCACAGGTAGGTGCACGAGCACTTCTTGGTAACGATTATTATTGTTACAATCGAGGAGACCGTAGCTGCTAGCAGCTTCTATGCTTTCTAGAAGACTTTCTGGAGAGATATCATCTGTATCTTCCGTGGCCTGAAAAAGAGGCATTGCTTGGTATAATAAGAAATTCATATCTTGCTCAAAATAACTTTATATAAAGGCATTTTGCATAAAAGAACGTTGCAGAGAGTAACTTTACATTACGTTAAAGAACTTCACATAAATGAAATTTTAACAAACGATATTATATACAAATAAAATTTCGATAAAGAAACTGAAAAAAATAACTGTACATAGCATAAATTTTTTTCAATAACAAATTTTACATAAAAGAATTTGTGCTTATACGAAAGTAAAATAATGGGTAAGTAAAATAATAATTTTATTGGTAAAATATTGGGTGCTGTTCATAAATATTTTGTAGCAAATGAGTATTTTATTCAAAGTACACATGAATTATCAAATTATCAGAGACGTAATAGAAAGATTTGCAAGTGCAAATTTTTCGAAGTCGAAAGGCACCAGCTTTTCTAAATAATAGTAAATGCGACCAATGTGAAATCGACTCATAAGATGGAACACAAATTATTTAATTTGAGGGTACAGATTTTGTTCCCTAATTTTTAGTATGGTTCAAATTAAAGTCAACTCATTTGGTACTTTCTAAAGAAATGCCCAATGTGTATTTATGACGTCGAAATTGACAAGAAAAAGTTTCAGGTCTTACAGAAAATGTTTACAAAAATTAAAAGCAAAAATAATTGCTAAAATTCTCTTAAGGACCGATAACTGATGAGAAAATAGGGAGTTTGTAAGATGTGAGTGTTGTATGTTAGTTTGCATAACCAAAATAGTCCTTGTTATCAGTTTTTGGTTTCTATTTATAAAGCTTCCTTAAAGGTAGAATGCAGCTGATGTCATTTGCGTATATCTGTGCTTAAGGATTTCCAATAGCTCTGAGATTCCAAAATCAAATCATCAAAATCTAGACCTTTGCGAATCTTTAATACTTCGTCATTTTAAAATAACGAAATTTCTAACCACCAAGATAGGAAAAAAAATGAATGAAAGTGGATAACAGTTCTTCAGCAATTAAGATAAGAGAGCTATAGTTTCATCCAGTTCATATACGATGCATAACTCAACAGTTACAATTACGAGACAATAGTATGGACAGTATGAGAAAGGAATTACATTACTTTCCTTAAAAAATTGCAATTAAGAACAACTGAAACAGGAATAATATCAACCTAGTGAAAGGTTAATAAAGTGATTCTAGAAGCTGTGGAGACAGGTGAAGATTAATGTGGGACATTTTCCTAAGAAATGAGTCTAATTTCATACCAACAGAATCGAAAACGTCCACAGCTGCTCTAACTCGCTACAGAGAAATTTCATTACATTCCAGAACTATAAATGCAGTCATTTAAGGTAATCTAAGACAGTTTATGATTATTAATGAGCATATTAAGATCTAAATCTGATCAAGTAAGTTTCTATTTTCACATTGGCTTTGGTCTGTCATCAGGACATATTAAAAAGAGCTATTGTTCTATATCAACAGTAACATACAGGATATGTGCAAACAAGATTGAAGACTATCCTATACTGGAGATGCTAGTATGCACTTAGTGAATAAAATGTTACTTGAGATGATTTATCTGTCGTTTCCTATACTGTTAAGGTTTCGTTCGTGGTTTAGCAGGGATATGTTAGAGAAAAAAATAAATTAGTGTTAAATTATTAGAATTTAAAATTAATAAATGCAAATTTTGAAAAAAAATTTGAAATTTCGCCGAATTTATTCTCTGTTAAATTTAGCTTACCAGATATTTTCGAACCTATCAAGTTATGAATTCTCTTCCGAGTTTTACTGATTTCTGTGCCAAAATCTAGCGGAATCTAACATATAATGTATTCATAAAGTCCCTGAACATCTTTCACCTATTACTGTGAGCACCCTATAAGAGGTAGTGCTGTTGTTTTTTGTGGTGTTGTTACACGTGTCTCAAAGTTTTTTCCCAAACAATGTTTTCCCGTCGTGTAACAAGAGAGCTTAAGCGGGACAGGTAGAGAGTAAACGTTTGGTGTGGGATGCTGCATAACAAGATTTTAGGACAATTTTTCTTCCATGAACAAACAACAAGAGTCGGAGTTTATCTCAATAAATTGATTAATTAGGTTTGACCACAACCGAGGACCGTAAACTAGAGCAACGAATGGTGCGCATGGTCAAAGATGTGTAGCTTGTATCATTTGTCATAAAAACCTTAAACATTCTTGCGAAAGTGTTACTATCACTGAAGGTATACGTTGTTCCACACTGTATTTCAGTTATATGTGAATTTTTTATCTTCATTTATCAATGTATTTTTTTTCCTTTTTAAACATTTCACATTACTGGCATTACATGGTACATTATATACTAAATGTAGTTGACAAGTAAGAAGATTAGCAGGTTAAGCTAAACACAAAGACTTGTGACATTATACAAGGTCATTTATTGCCCTTTAAGATTACCCGCAAATTCGTAATGAATATAATCTTCAGTTAAAACATAAAATATGTTGGATCTCATTTCGACAATCCAAATTTATTACTCTATCAGCATTATTTTATTAAAATTAACGTTTAGTTAATTTAAGGTTATATGAAAAGAAATATGAAAATCTTTAACAGTTGATGAACATTCAACGAAAAGCTTACATAATTAAAAGCAAAACGTTATTTTTGTGATCATGAATTCATATTAGAAATTTATGGAATGCCACAAGTTATATGGAAATCTAATAAAAATTGAAGATCTCTGTACAAAATATAACGCTAAATAGTTTTATGGTTTAATGCAGGACAACAGCAACTACATTCTTCCTTAGAAAAATTAAGACGTGAACATTATTAAGTAAAACAATAAATCTATAAGCATTTGAAAATATACGGGTACATTATAAATTATAATTATATACTTATAAAATATACTTTTGTAAAAATTTAAAAAAAAACATCAGTGTTCAGAATGAGTCTCAAAATCACGAATGTAAAATTTTTTTAAGAAAAGTGGTGTAGAGAATAAAGGATTACTTTAATTAAAAGAATAAAAAGACAGCAATTTTATCAAAAGAACAGTTTAAGAAATTAAAATTTGAATAAATAGAAACACAGTGAGTCACTAATTATTTAGTCCAATAAAAAGTTTGATAGAGGCTTTCGGTTGTTAATCAATGTCCACTTAAAGCACGATTTTAAACGAGATGGGAATATATAAAGTTATTAAATATTAATACAGAAGAATTTTATAATCATTATAGCTTTTTACATGTTTTTTTCGAAAATAAAAAAAATAATAATGACAGTTACATTCTATTGTTATCTGAAGAATAAGGCAAGAAAATGGAAAATAAAAATTGCTAAGCACAGTTCATGTATTTTTATTTCGCATTATTTAATTCTGCATTTCGGAATACGAAAGTTAAGATTTTCAAAAGGAAAAAAATGATTGTATAAGAAGTTAAAATTGAACAAAACCTGTTATTTAATTTTTCACTTCATTTCAAGAAATTTATTTAACCTTTTTAAAATTATTAATTTTTTCAATAATTAATGATATTAATTGCTATATACATTATATTATTTTCCATTATTCTCAGTTCTTATTAGTTATCTTTAAATAGTTTTAAAATTATATATTTATTTAATTTTCACTTCTTTAAATTTCACATTTTTTAAGAAAAAGCAAATTAAAAAAAGACTACTTATTAATATTTTATTCATGAAATATCATAACCCAAGTAGCAGAACAAAGTCGTTACGACGTTGCAAACTCGTCGCGGATGTCATTGCAAAAACGTTGCAATGTGTCGTCTTTAAGACGCCCAGATGTCCGCGAAACTCCACTGTTTTACAACCGTTGCAAAGACATCTTTATTGTGTTTTGCAGGTGAGATTTTTGTCGCATACACGTCGTTATTGCATCTTTCGCAGGTGATATTTTAGTTGTGAAAGTATCGTATCACGACGTCTTAACGACTCCTAAATGTTCGCAAAATTCCACCTTTTTACAACAGTTGTGAAAATGTCGTTATTATATCCTTGTGTTACATGTTGATTTATGGAGAAAAATAAGCTTAATAATTAATGTACTTTTCTTCTTTTTTAAAATTTTGTATTCCCTGTATTTTTCTAAAGTTTAAATATTTTATCATTTCCTGAAAACCAGAAGATTACACAATTTTTTCTTTTTAGACTAAATATGCATAATTAATAATAGCCTTAATTATTTTCAGTACTTTAAACTATATTTTTTAAATAACTTAAATTCTAAGTTACGATTATTTAAGATTTCATCATTTTTTCCCTTAAGTGAGAGTAATTATGAAAGTAGTTATTATAAAAATATAACAATAATGGTAGGTTTTAAGAAAATAAAACTCAATCAGACATAAATAAAAGTAAAGCTGTGAGTAAAAAAAGAGCGTTTCTGATTATAACAGCATTATCACATTTATTTCTGTTAAATCTCAAAGACATTGAAAATTGCCCCTGTCATGATAAATTAGGAGGCGGTTCTTAAGGTAATTTAATCAGTATTTTACCTGAACTCAAGTATACATTTATTCGCGTTTCATAGCAAAAAATATAACCATTAACTTCTATATCTCCAAGATATGCAATTGAAAGACTGTATAAAGCAGTTAATAAATGTGATCAAAATATTTCATACAAAAATATACCTATCTAATAACCAAAAACAAATTTCCCATATTCATATCTAAAATGAAATAATAACCTAACAAACAACATACATCACAACATGCAGCATACATCACAACAACAACATACAGCACTATTTAAGAAAAAACATGAACTAGTAGTGTTTGAAAGTATAAATATCAGAAGGAAGGTAACAGAACTAAAATTTCCAATTAATAAAAAAAAATTGTGTTTTTTAAATAGTAAGCAATTGAAAGTGCAATAATTATGGATTGCAGTATTTACTAGTAATACTGATTTTCTTAACATCATTTCTTTCGATCATATGTTAATGTATTTACTTATTTTTAGTTTCTACATTTTAGAATAGTGGTAGATTATAA